AGAGTGAAAAATAAACAGTTAATATGACCTAAAGAAAAAGACAGGTAGAAGTTGCCTTTTTAATCATTTTAAATTATTTTTTTACAGTCCAGACCAAATTTATGCTATACCCAAACTGTATAATTGACTCTGTATATGCAGTCTCTCAGTTGCTCAACAATACAGATAACAGCAGTAATGGTATAATTATAACTTACAGCTGAAGTAGGTAAAGACCTGCTAGTTCTTAACCAGTGGTTGTAATTGAGAGTGGAGAAGGGTAATACTCCCAGCATCTGCTTATGTTTCACTAATAAAAATGGATTTTAAGTTTCAATACGGCAAAGCAGCTGCATGCTGCATCTCAACCCTGACCATGTCCTGAAACAAGACAATGACTGGGGAGTGCAACTTGACTTGTAGCAGCTGTAGGAAAACAGCTCTGCAAGCAGTGGTTAAGCAGCAGCTGTAGATATGAAACGCATTAAATGGAAAGCAAGCAGCACGTGTGTAAGGAAGAGGTTATTTCCTGTGCCCCAAGCATCACTTTACCCTTGACTGCATCAATGGGTAGAGGAAACAGACAGCATTGCTTCCTTTCTACCACCGTCTCCCAGCATAGGGGAATAATTACACATGGCCTTGCGCGCACACACACGCACACACAGAACCCGCTGACAGAGAGAGAGAACAAGACAGGGAGAGAAATGCAATTCCCACCCACGGCGGAGCACGAGTGACTGCAGCCGGGGGCCCCCCCCCGGCCTCCTCCCGCGGCAAACGCCGCGTGGAAATCCGTGTCACCAAGACAGCGTGAGGGCCCCTTCCCCCTGCCATGAACAGCGACGGACTGCACAGTGAACGCATTTCGCCTGGCATAAGTAAGACACCTATGAAGCGAATTCGAAGGCTAGATATAAAATAGACGTTGGCAGTGCTGTGGTTTCTATTTTCAACTTTTCCAGGCAAAAATGACAATGACAGCAGCATAATAAAGGCAGCATTCCTCCAGCACTTCCTAACCTATTAAGAGTTATCTGGCATCCTCTATAACACGTTATTACATGACCAACGACTGAATTGCATATGAAAGTCAAGTAACTTCAGAAATACTTTACACACACACACACAACTAAAAAAATGCACCTCATAAATAATGTATTTCAAAAGCAAACCTTGCATTATCATCAAGTACAAGCAAAAGGGGCTAAATACATTTTCTAACAGCTGTTTCCTTGGTATACATAGTTCTCAGATTCAGACCCCTTGGTCTGTGCTTTCTTGGAAAACGGAAGAGTAAACCCAAAAGCTCAAAGTGAAGTGGGTACCACTGGCATGTTTCATTTGCTCACTCACTCAATACTGGTTGCTAAGCAATTTTTTTTCTAAAGCTCAAAACTACTCACTGCCAGATGGATTAATGAAAACACACACTGGCACTGCTCGAAATACTTTTCATTTATATTTCTTGAGACACTAGAACTATTTCTTTTAATTATTTCTTTTTAAAGGAATTCCATTCCCAGGTTTGAAAGTAAAGCTCTGCCACATAACTTAAAGGGAGCAGAGGAAAGGGGAGGAAGAGAAAGAAGCTAAGTGCAATTATCAAATTTTCCTGTGTATTGCAGGAAAGAGATATCTAGAGACTTGCACGTCCTCTGGGATTTGTCGTAGTAAAGACAGCACGTCTAGCTCAGCAAAGAGATGTGAGGCACCAGGTGACCTGAAGGTGCCTTCCTCTTAACTGGTTTATCTATTTATAAGTACATGACATAATATTACCTGTGACAGCACAAGCCAACACAGGGTTTATTTCAGCAGTCAGCTAACTGTACATAGCCTCTTTTTGTACACAGACATGATCCTTCCCTTTTCACCTCCTTTTTCACTCCCAGTTCGTTAGAGCTGAGGCTTGGATATGGCACTGTCTTCCAACTCATGCCCTGAAATGCCCCCCAACTTACCTATACCTTGTTATTTTTTTAAAGAGTCATGACCATAAAGAAGCAATGACCCACCATATAATGCAACCAACCATCCTGTCAACCGTAAATCTAAACAGTGTATTACCCATTACCAAGGGTGTAATTATAGCCAGGATGGCAGGAGGGGAAGGGAATCTGTTCCATCACCAAACAGAGGAGAAGGCAGATCTCTGCCATCTCCAACTTTCAGCCAGCTGAAAGGGGGGAGGAGGAGTGGGGGAGACTGCAGCATGGCAAGCAGCAACTCCGAGGCAGCTCTTTTCCCCTTTCAGCTGGCAAGGAGTTGACAGGCTCAGCTGAAAGAGGGAGTTGCACGGAAGCACACTGCACAGTTGGGTCATTTTGTATGCTACTGGGACACGAGGAAGGCTGCAGCAGAGCTTCCTGGCTACAGATCCTCATTCACTCCCTTACAGGCAGAGGAGGGCTGGTCTGGCACAGAGGGAACCAACAGAGAGTACTTTCTTTTCCTTTGTTTTTCTGAGCATGTAGGCTCTGGTGTAGTTTACTGTTGACAGACCCCACAGAGAAAGGAAAGGTCAGAGAAGGAGGGAAAACAACAGGCCTAGTAGGAGAGAAACAGGACAATCACCGTGTGCAGACGAAGTGAAGGGGACAGCCGAAATCTCAAAGGAGCCATGAGGAAGAGGAGGCAGGGAGGAAGGAGCAGCAACGGTGCGGGGGGGACAGCAAGGTCAGACAGAGACCTGCAGGAGGCTATGCCAGGTGTCTGCGAGGGTGCAGACAGAAACAAGGCGGTGAACGCAGGGAGCTGGGGGGGTGCTAGCAGAGAGCAGCGGGCAATATACTCGCTGCGCGTGGTGAAAAGCACCTAGGAGGCAACAGGGGACCTTCACGGCACAAAGTGGACGACACGGGTGCAAGTTTCCCGGCACTTCCCAGGGACAAAGCCGCGGTGAGAGGAAGAGGGACGTGCAGGATCGCCAGCGGCAACCCCCGGGGGAAGGGTGTCGGGAGCCGGGTGGCGGGGGGGGA